CTTGAAGTGTAAACTTGTTTAATAAACCATATCTTTCATTTTCGATTTTTAATTCACGTAGTCCGGGAACTTTCCGGACAAACTGTGTATGCTGAAATATTAGCTTCTTCCATATGGTGCTACAAACAATATCGTAAGCGCGCGAAGCGCACTGGACTGTCTTACTTGCATAAGATAGCCCAATGCATGCTTATTTGCGGATATTTGGTAATTACGATCTCAGCAATTATTGCGAATCTAGCAAAATGGTATAGGATTTTTTGACTCAGTTTTAGTCCTTCGTTCTGTCTACGAGAAATGGCTAACCAATTCTGGGACACCTTGTATATAGTAAATCTTTTCACTTTTTTTTCACTATTTTTTCACTATCTTATAGTTAATGTTACTATTATATTGGTTGTTTTTCGCTTTTTCTTATTTTGATTCTTTAAATACTTTTTTTGTCGTAGGATATCGCGTAAACTATGATCGTCAATCTTGGAAGGACATTTCTCTTTTTCTTAAAACCGGAGGATCTAAGATCGCAGAATTATCTGACGTCACTTTAGCACAACTTCTCGACGATGCTTTTTATTTTTTGGTGCAAAATACAAAGTATAAAAAAAATAATGTTCCCGATAAAGGTGATCTGGACATATATCTTGAACTTGCAAGCAGTATATTTCATGTAAACAATTCCTATACAGCGTGGTATCCTGTACTTATTGCACTTGAAACCATGTCGAAGATTGTTCCGTTCCCAGAAAGTGTTCTTTCAAGAAATATCAAGGTAAATAAAACTACATTTAGTACATTACGAAAGTAGATGATTGCAAGCTCATCATCAACTAGAAAATAAAAAAAGTTAAAAAACTAAATTGGAATATATATATGTATATATATATATATATATAGTAAAAAAAGAAAATTATGCAAATTATAATTTTAGTGCAAGATTTCGTCACATAATTTTGTAAATGGTTTCCTATCAGGTTATGCTGCCTGACGCGATCAGCTAATCGCTACACACTGTTTTTGTAGTTTTCTCTGTCTCTTTCTTTATCTCTCTTTTTCTCTTAGTTATTTATTTTTTCATTATGAATTTGTATTACGTAATTCGTGCAGTACATAAATTACTGTCACTCACGGTGAATTGCGCCGCTTCTGCGCATATTGTATAATATATTTATATATTATATTTATAAAATATCTCTACTTCTCGTATCCGACTCGTGGTACGTCACCTATTTTTATTAATAACTCAAAAAGGAAGCTTCAGACAAAGTTTTGTCAAATAAAATGATTTCTTAAAATTTAATCAAAAATATGTATTTCCAAAGATAAAGGGTTCCTTTGAAGCCTTTGTACATGTACATATACATATACTAGAAAACAGGTGTACACACTTGTGTAACCTTAGCCGATAACATAACAAATATACATAATAACATAAATAGAATGTTGCAAACATACAAATCCACAGTCAGAGACAGGCACGTCACTATAGTTAAAAAGATACTCTATAGAAGTGCTAAATAATTGCTAAGTACACACGATTTGCAAGTTTTTACAACTTTAATGAATTTAAATACAGTTTTCATTGCAATGTAATTTTTTTGTGGCTTATCTATTTTTTGTTCATAAATGAACTGCACATAAAAAACCACTGATATATTGTGTTGTACAAATGTATTGTTTACGATAGTGTAATATTTGTTGTTTTGGCATCATAAAGACTATAGTATACGAATGCTATCTAAAACAACAAATATTCGATATTTTTTGTTTAAAACAGTAAGTTTTATAAAAACTATTAGCAATACATGTAAATATATAATTTAAAAAAAATAACTTGGTAATCTTTATAAACATACATATAACTTAGAAAAGAATAAAAAAAATTGCTATATATTAAGATGTCACAAAACTAGTAGAATCTACAATATTTTAGATATGAAACACTAAGATATTGTTAAATAATTATATATTAAAAACATTTGGTAATTAACACTGTGTTACAACATAATTTCTTTTGCTTTTATAGAATAAACTCCTGGAAATATTGAATAAGTTTCTTGATGACATATCATATACAAATTCTTCGAAAAATAGTGCCAATAATCAATTCTATCATGAAGTTTTAAAATGGACATGCATACTTGGTAGTTTAAAGTGCAAAGAACATGTTAATGGAATAGTAAACTGGCATTTTGAACATTCTACACAAAACAAGTACGTTATTCTATTTTCTCAATAGCAACTTGACGTCCGTTGAAATTACAAAGATCTTATCGTGCTACTGGACTTATATCTATGGAAGAACACTAATGGATTAGACTTTAAGAAAAGTTATATTTCTTTAAGTAAAGTCCTAGATAGCCAACTAAGTGCAAATTGTTGGTAATTTGCCACAAATATTGCTCGTCTTTCATATGCACATTGTGAAAGTTGTGCAAAAAAGTGGCATCATGAATAACGACGATCCTGCAATGATTGCACTTAGATGATTCGCTATAACGTAACAGTTTTGTCAAAATAAAAGGTTGTAAATAATATTTGTCAAAACTTGCAAAAAAGTCGTTATGCATTTTCATAAGTATATGCATGAATTACAATGATTTCTTCATATGCAAGTATATTACTATATATTTTAAACATCACATAGCTAAAATGTTTGTCTCACTTATTGGACAATTTTTTTTTGAAATTAACTTTGCAAATATACTGCTAAGATAATTCGCCATATCGTTATTCTTTTGCCAAAATAATAGTTGCAAAATAATTTTGCAAACAATTACAAATATTTTATAAACGATCAATGATCTACATCTATTTCATAAAATATATTTGTATAATTGCAAATTACAATTTTAGTACAAAATTTTGTCACATAATTTTGTAAATGGTTTCTTATCAAGGATAAGTTTTCAGCATTGTAAGAAAATAGTGTATTTTGTTTTTAGTACGTTCTTGCCAGCAACGTACTGAAAATTTCTTCGAAATATAATAACAGAAATTTTCTAACATCTCATCAACAATAAACTTATATTATTTTTCAACTTACGAATACAAATCATTGCTAACATATTGCTCACATTTTGCTCACTCACTTGTCATAAACATTGTCTACAAAAATTAGTTGACAATAAAACTCACCATATTGATACTAAATTAACAAAAACATTTTTGTTGCATTGAATAAAAAAACAACAGCAATTGGCGAGCACCTTAATCTAAACAATAATTTGCTTTATATTGAGTGTTCACATTTGACTATCTGGAATAATATATTTTTTTCTTGCAGACTGTTGTCAAGTTGGCAGAAGTGGATATATTGCCAAAGACTAATGGTAGACACTTTTACTTATGTAACATCTACTGTGTGGGAAGATATAGTCAAGATATACCAGACACAAGGAAAACTAGAACAACTTTTTGAATTCTTACCTTGCTCTAAACAGTACAAGAATCTGTTGTCTTTTCTCTCGGTTCTTCATCGTAATTCTTTAATAATACGTACAAGTAGTTTAAAAGGAGACAATGGTGATTTTTACAAAGAAATTGTACATGAAAAGAAAAATGTTACTGTTACTGTACTTTTTAAAATTTTTGCTATGCATTCAAAAAATATGTCAGCGCTTGATGTTATACGAATCGGACTAGAAAATGGAATAGGAAGGTAAAAAGATTATTTTTTATGTAGAAACATTTTTATGCAGTAAAACAATTATGTAGTTTACATAATCTGCATATTTTTTATAACGACTTTATTCTATATTATTCTCATGTCGTATTGTATAATGTATAAGAGTAATTTTACATTTGAAGTGAAAATTTGGTTTTTGTTTTCTAGAGACGTGAACATATTAGCAATAATAAATTGTATTATTAATAACATATATTCAGACGACGGTCTGTTAAAGGTATGTTGTATGATTTTTTTTATTTTTTGTAGTCATATATGCAAATCAGTATTTCCGTATTTTTTACATATATACAGAGTGTCCGACAATTAGTATAAAATCTCTCGTAGGCAGGAAGGCGAATCTCTCGTAGAAGTAGTAAACTTGTTCCTAAAAGTCGAGAATCACTTTTTTCGGTTACATATAATAAAAAAGTAATTAGTAAATAATCAACCACGCGCATGGTGTGCGTAAGCGCTCCGTGCGGTTCACAGGCGAGCGTCCTGCTAAAGGTCGGCGCTGAGTAGCCTGATGTATTTACTAAGTACTTTTTATTATATGTAATAGAAAAAGATAATTTAGGACTTTTCGCCTCAGGTTTACTTCTTCTATCTGCCTTCAAGAGATTTTACACAAATTGTCAAACACCATGTATATATGTATGTATATAATAAAAAATGTAAAGAGGTATAGTGGTATCTAGATTCATACCTGCTTTTGATATAAGGAAAAAATAATTTCTCAAGAAACAATGGAAAATTACATACGAGTATATGTGGGTCAGATTGGCAATTTTGTATGATCGTGTACACTTGTATATGAGTCGAATATGATTTTATATAAGTTGGATATGATTCTATGTGATCGTGTAAAATGAAATCTGAAATTTGGCGCGATTTGATTTTATAAGATCATATATAAATATAAGAAAGTATATACTATCGTACATACTTTTATGTACTTATATATGATTCTATAAAATCAGATTGCGCTAAATTTCAAATCTGATTTTACACGATCGCATAAAATCATATTCAATTTATATAAAATCATATTTGACTTATTTAAAAGTTTATACAATCATACAAACTTACATCCGATTTACATATAATTGTATATGATCACATGATGTTTCATTTTCGTTCGAGTTTCTATTATTGAATAGTGTTACACGATGTAAGGAAATCACACTAAGTGATAATAGTACATGTTTTTTTTCAGATTGGTAACACAAGATTCTTAAAGAAATTGCTGCATATGCATCACATAGGAAATGTATGTATAGATTAGTTAAATTATTATTTTAATAGTTGTTTGGAATTGGGCGTTTTTTTTCTTTTCTTCAAGTATAATCTCTTGTTTATATGTAACGTTTATATGTAATGTTTATATGTAAAACCTATTGTTTATATGTAATTGGTATATATTAAATCAAGTAAAAGTATATTCCGTACTTCATATATTTAATAGTTATAAACAAGTATTCAGGATTGTACTTTAAATATGATTTGTATTCTGTTCTAGGAATCATTTGTTCTCGATGCCATTAACGAAAAAATTAAAATTCGACGTATGTTTCTGGTTGAAATGGAAACTACGCTTTATTGTTATCCTCATTATATTTTTAATTTCGTAGACTATCGTGTATCTACAAACAATGGGTGCAAATAAGTTTCTTTTTTATAATGGATCACTTTTTGTATTCAATTTTTTTATGACAGTTTACATTTTGAAAACAAACATTTGTAGGTGAAAAATTTTATTCATTTGGTGTGTCTAAATTTTGTGTTTGTTTCTTTTAAGTTAGCTTTATTTTATAGCATTAACATACTAATAGTTAGGAAAATTGAGTAAAAGTGGAAATACAGTTTTTGTATTTTACTATTTAACAGTTTGCATATTAGTGATAAAATAAAGTTAACTTTTCAGTAAGATACACTGAGATTCAGTGGGATATTTTATGTTATACGATGGTTACTACGTGTATATGTAATATATATAAATATATGTGTATGCATATATACAGTATAACATCTTACACATAAATAGGAGTATATAAGTCTCACACAAAATCTAGGAATACAAGTAAGAAATGTAAGAGAAAAATTAATATCGTGAAATACTATTTAATGTTGTATAAGATATGTTAATCATATAAGGTAATAAACTTTGTAAATTGTTGAATACTAAATTAAAATTTCAAAATTGTAAAATGTTACTGAGAAGTTATAATTTACGTTATAGTTTATTTTGTGTGTGTGTGTGTGTGTGTTTGTAAGAAATAAAGATAGTAAATTTTAAAACCAATAGTAAGTACGGAATTATTTATAATAAAAATTGTAATTGCAATAAACTAATTTTAGAATTTTTTCGTAATTTTTACCATTATGCATTTATTTCTATCAATGTTTTGTGAACACATTCACATATTTTTTTCTCTTCGACTAACGTCTATAGAAAGAAATTTTAGAGTGATGTTCGCGAGCGACAAATTTTGAAACCTCATTCTTTTTATTACAATGGAGATACATAGATTACAACATAAATAATATCAATTTTTTAACACAGACGTTTATATTGTGTGACACGTTGTAATTTTTTAATGAAAGTACGATCGTCTTGTAGTTATTGATGATTTTTCGAAAATATAAGATCGCGCATATGTGCTTAGACGATACGTTGTCGATTTTGTTATACCTGTAATTAGCTTGGTTCTTTCAGTACAATTATAACATTTTAAAAATTTTGAATTTTAATGTTTTAATGATTTACTTTAAGTATTAGAAGCCAATATTACAAACAATAAAGAATGTAAACAAATTTACAATTGCATGCATATGCATGGAAGCGGTGTGTTTCGTACTCTTTGCAAGAAAGCTTCACTATCAAAAAACTAAACACTTAGATTGAACTTTGCTTTATGGAAAGTGAATATTTACACGTAACGTGAATATCTTTCACATTTTGCATGAAGTTTTAACTTTTCTCGCAAAGCGAGATTCAGTTTTTACATCGCTGCAGTTTTTTATCTATTAGAAATACAAAAAAATATTTTAGACAAAGGTTATAAGAATGGTTCTTTTCTACAAAATTAAATATAGTTATTTTCATTGTAGGACCAACTGGTAAGTAGATATTGCAAAACAACATATTTTAGACGTCATTTTTTCAAGATGATGGCGCGAGCGGCGACCTGCCGTGTTGGAAAACTTGGGATTTTCATTAGAAAACCGTACTTTAAGACATGTTCAAAAATCAAAATTACCTGAATTTTTGAAAGCAAAAAGTATATTTTGACTAAATTAGTAGTATAAATGGATTAGTATTATAAATCTCGAAAAAGATACAAAACGCGTCAAGCACAAGAAATTATGTGTTCTATTTGAATTAACATAAATTTCAAATNCAAACTCAAACTCTTTTTTAGTTTGTGACATGGTGGTAGAGCCCCGTTTGTTTGCAGATTTATTGCCAACATTATTTGCCTACATCATGTTTCTCGACAATTCTTTGGCGCACACAAATTATTGNCTACATTTCAATTGCCTACAAGCTTGATTGCTTACAAGCTCGAATGCGCACATATACAGGGTGTCTCATAACGAACGAATCAGCCGAAGTGTGTAGGTAGATCGGGTCAATCCGAACAGAAAAGTTATTTACCATTTTGCAAAATGTGCAATAGTTATTAAGATATGAATTAATAAATGTGAGCCAATGAGCGCGCGGGGGGCAATGATCGGACTCTAGGGGTACCTCTCGCTCGCCGCTGTTTGCGGCGTACCGCCTAATATCGCCCGATCGCAAGAAGCTGAGTCGCGCCGCGCTTGTTTGTTTCTCCGCCTCTCATTGCTATGACATTGCATGAAAGAAGCCATTTTTCTTTACAGCTGATAATCGTGCACGCCTATAGAGTCCGATCATTGCCCCCCGCACGCTCATTGGCTCACATTTATTAATTCATATCTTAATAACTATTGCACATTTTGCAAAATGGTAAATAACTTTTCTGTTCGGATTGACCCGATCTACCTACACACTTCGGCTGATTCGTTCGTTATGAGACACCCTGTATATAATATACTTTGTCTAGGTTTTCTCACATTAAATATGCAATTGTTAGACCAAATGAATCATATCAGCGCAGTAAGTATCGAAACGTTTACTTAATTAGACGTATTATAATTACATCGAATATTATAAAATGCTCCAGTATCATTTACTATCTTTGTCACTTGAGCAAGTTTATAATTTTAAAAATCACCACTACACTATTTCATCATATAATTGTGGCGATATTTGTTTATTTGCGAAAATGTAATGTGTTTCATAGTACACTTATACATTTAATTGTTTAATTTATTAAAATTATGCCCAAAGTTTTTATAAGGCACTATTTTTTTCTAATCTATATTGTGTAGAATTGAAAAACAAATGAGTATTTTCTATACTTTATTTCGCACTCGATAACTGATTAGTTGAGGTTTTCTTTTACATGCAAGATAAAATTTTAAAAAACTTTTACGCGTCTTTGTTTTGTTGCTCTTGCTATAGTTCCACGCGTTTTATTTATATATAAGTTTAAATAAAAAAATAGGAATGAGGCAATATCAAGCTACACCTGATGTTTGCGTAAAATTTTTCTTTATCCGAGGTTTTAGTAAAGATACAAACGTTTCGATCCACAAATTTCGTTTGGATACTATTCG